ATATATACACACATACACACACATACACACACATACACACACATACACACACACATACACACATACACACACATATACACACACACACACACACACACACATGGATAGCAGGGCTGTTAATTCAGGCTTGTCAGTGAAAGTCTGTGTCACTGATGAAAGCATGCCGGGCGGCTCCTCTGACCGCATGCCAAACTCTGCTGCTCTTTAGGGCGTAAGTGCTTGGAGTAGTATTCAGCCTCACACACTCACCCTAGCAGACACTCTCAGTGCTCAGGTACAAAATTAGTTTAACTTTTGATACCTGGTACATTTTGTTTTGAAGCTTCAAACACTTGTAAATAGTTCCCCATTTAATGATCAGGGAGGGAAAAAAGCTTTTCAGGAGCTCGCTGTGATTTTATAACCTCCTTAACTTCCATAAATTGTTTATAAGTGTGTCGCCAGGCTGTTCTGAGAAAGCCGTCGGCCTAGCATTAGCACGGTAAACACATGGTAGCCTACTTCAAATTGGTCTGAATGATTCAGGATTTGGTTCATGTGCTGCAGCTAATCTTCCTCAATAAACCATCAAGGCAAAGAATTTCAGCTCTAACAGACCGGAGCTGCTTTCTCCTCTGTTGGCTTCTTACGGTCTCACAATGAACTTCTGACACACTAACAGTTACATTTCCTCTTAATTTGTCCATGCTGTAGTCTTTTATCTTCCATTAGTTTGGGGGATGTCAGAGATGGATAGCAGCTGGCAGGTTTCGAGCTTCATTTTATCAGGATGATTATTTGATGTCAGTCTATATTTTTTTTTAGTGAGTGGCTGATATATATATAAATAATGTTTTTGAAGTTGTAAATAAAACAAAGTTTATTGGAGTATGTTAAAGAGAACATATTTGCCTTTCTACTTCAAAATTTGTCTACTTCAAAATAATATTTAATTTCATGTGTTACTTTCTGTTTCTTTGCAGTTGTTTGTGAAATTTGCTAGCAATTTCAATTTCTAATATATATATATTAGAGGTCGACCGATAGTGGATTTTGCCGATACCGATAGCGAGGTTGGACCACACTGGCCGATACCGATTAATTAACCGATAGTTTTAAAATTGATACTGAACAAAACTAAAATAATGCTTTATTAACAAAAACAGTACTGAACCGTACTAGTAGTAGTAGTAAAAAAAAAATAATAATAGTAATAGTAAATGTTGAAATTAACACACTCTAATAAGGAACAATACTTTCATTACACAGCTTTCATTAATCTTAATGCTACAAATGGACTCTTATTTTAAAGTGTTACCATTTAATTTCTACTGTCATGCTTAAAGATGCACATCTTTAAATATATACACAAAGGCTATAGCATTAAAATTATATACATATGGATATTGTATGTATACTCTCACACTTTAACTTCTTCTATTCTTGAACACTTGATTATTATCTAATCAAAATAAAAGTGCAGCGCTGAGTCTAGGAGAACTCACCGGTATCACACACTCTCCGGACGCGTCGCGTTCAAGTCGAGCAGCAGTCTAAAACAGTTTATTTAATCACCAAACAGAATGAACAATTTGACATGGATGAGTTTGAAGTTCGTATATATATAACACACACACACAAACACACGTAATTTGAAAAGATGAAAATAAAGTATGGACATTTGGAACACAAATTTACAAATAGGCTTAGCTCATGAATATTAATTAGGTCACATTGATGTGATGTTGCTTGGTAACCTACCTTAAAGAGATAGTTCACCCAAAAATTAAAATTGTCATAATTTACTCACCCTCGTGTCATTCCAAACCTGTATGATTTTTTTTTCTTTTCTGTATAACATGAAGTTGTTTTGAAGAGTGTTGGTAACCAAACAATTTTGGTTCCCATTGACTTCCATTGTGTTTTTGACCATATAATGGAAATCAATGGGAATGGAAAAAGTTTGGTTACCAATATTCTTCAAAATGTCTTCTTTTATGTTCCACAGAAGAAGAAAAAAGTCATACGTGTCCAGTGAAGTAACCTAGTTAACATTCAAAAAGTCATTGACAGACTTCATCTGTCTATTTTCAACTAGAAGCAGAATTGTTAAATTGTATATTTCTAGTGAACCTTTCTACGTCAGTTAACATGTGTACAGCATTTCAGCTTGAATTGTATGTGCAATAGTTGAACACTGATATTATTTGATAGCATCTTTTTATACTTACATAATGCTGTCGTAAAAATGTTACATGCAGGCCCTCAAATGATGTCCACAGTGCTTTTATAAGTTTAATGTGGTTGTTGTGGTCTTGTTTTACAGGGAGTAGCGAGCCAGACGCAGAGTGCTTACTTCCTCCCTGAATTTGCACTTTCTCCACAAGGAAGCTTTCTGGAAGACACAACAGGAGAGCAGTATCTCACTTACCGCTATGATGACCAGGTCAGAGACACAGCATCTTATGCACCGTTACCTCTGAATATTCAACTGAATTCTGTCTGCTCAGATGAGTTTTTATTAATTAAACCCGAGTCATACTTGCCACTTCCTTTAGTGGTGGTTTAATTGCGCATTGTAAAACTGCTGCTCTGAGAAATTATCATGGTTCATTAGCTTTAATACAAATAGTATTTGTGCTAAAACCTAGTGAACTGCCTTGTTGACTACTATCATTTGGTATATATAAACAGCATATATTGGGTACATATATTTTTAATGATGTATATGCTTCTTACCATTTTGGAACAGTCGTTATGTCGAAAGCGCACATATGATGCCTTAAAATGCTGTCTAGGTAGGCAGCTCAGATCTATAGATTATTGGATCAGATCTATAGATTTGTCTTTCGTGTTGCATGAGTTCTCTGTAGAAAAGTGAAGTGAGCGTATGATTGAATGAGTCAGTGATTAATTTGACAGGATGGCACAAGTCAAACATGAATAATGTCTGTCTGTGCATTTCTGAGCTCCACTGAGAGGAAAACAGCATAATGACAACAGGTCTACATTTTATTTTATTTTATTGTATTGTGTGCTATGAGTAACCTAATATTTCATATGATATAACCTTGATTGTCAAGTTCAGCAAATTCTGATAATGAAATATTCAATTGATTTTAATTTCATTTTCCTTGGCAGGTTCATTTTTATACATTTTTATATACCGCTGTTCAAAAGTTTGGGGTCAGTAAGATTTTTTAAAAGGAATTAATACTTTTATTCAGCAAGGATGCATTAAATTGATCAAAAGTGGCAGTAAAGAGATTTCTAATGTTACAAACTATTTCTCTTTTAAATAAATGCTGTTTTTTAAACTTTCTATTCATTAAAAAATCCTGAAAATCTTGGTTTTATTACAGTTTCCAAAATATTCAGCAGCACAGCTGTTTTCAACATTGACAATAACAAGAAATGTTTCTTGAGCAGCAAATCAGCATGTTTGCAAGAGTGGCGTAATGATTCTGAAAATTCAGCTTTTCATCACAGAAATTAATTACATTTGAAACTATATTCAAATAAAAACTATTGTTTTAAATTGTAATAATGTTCCACAATATTACAGTTTTTACTATATTTTGGATCAAATAAATGCAGCCTTGGTGAGCATAAGAGACTTAAAAAAAAAAACATCTTACTGACCCCAACAATAATGGATTTAATTTTTATATTAAACAGTATTAAAACATTTTTTTTTAGCTTTCTTGACCAATCAGAATCCATGAACTGTCCGTTTTGAAATAGTGAGAGTGTTAAAGGGGTCATATGATGCTGCTAAAAAGAACATTATTTTGTGTATTTGGTGTAATTAAATGTGTTTATGCGGTTTAAGGTTCAAAAAACACATTATTTTCCACATACTGTACATTATTGTTTCTCCTCTATGCCCCGCCTTTCTGAAACGCGTCGATTTTTACAAAGCTCATCGGTCTGAAAAAGCGAGGTGTGCTGTGATTGGCCAGCTATCCAGTGCGTT